ATCAGGGGGTTGAGGAGCTCACCCCTGTCACTCACAGAGTAGGGCCGATAGGGGAGTTGGGGCACCGCCCCCTGTCACACACAGAGCAGGGCGGATCAGGGGGTTAGGGTGCCACCCTCTATCACCCACCGAGCAGGGCCAATTAGGGGGTTGGGGCGCCGCCACTGTCACACTCAGGGCAGGGCCGATGGGGAGGTTATGGCTTTACCCCGTCACACAGAGTAGGGCCCGTGGGGGGGTGGGGGGGTTGGGGCACCGCACCCTGTCACACACAGAGCCGCAGGGCGATCAGGGGGTTTGGGAGCTCCCCCCTATCAGGCACAGAGCAGGGTTTATCAGGGGGTTGGGGCGCCTTCTCCTGTCACGAACAGAGCAGGGCAGATAAGGAGGTTGTGGCCCTGCCCCCTGTCACACACAGAGCCACAGGGCGATCAGGGGGTTTGGGCACTGCCGCCTGTCACGCTGATCCCAGTGCTTGGAGACCTCATGGCTCCGCTGATCCCGGTGCTGGGAGGCATATTACCCTTTTACTATACAGGATAGAGGCCTGGTGCACGGGTGGGGGCCGGCTGGTTTGCCCTGAAGGGTGTCCTGGATCAGGGTGGGGGTCCCCACTGGGGTGCCTGGCAAGTCTGGGTGAGGGGCTGAGGGCTGTTTTCAGGCTGGCAGGTGATTGAAGCTCCCAACTGTTCCTTTTTTTTTTATTCTGGGCCAGCTTTAGCTCTGGCTCCAGCTCTGAGGCCTCTGCTGCTGAAAGCAGGTATCTGCTTTGTTTGGGTTCTACAATCGAAACACTGTATCAACTCCAGCTCTGAGATCCCGGCTGGCTGAAAGCAGGTTTCTGGGGTTTTGTTTAGCTTCTATATTTGTAACAATGTTTCAAACTGCAAGCTCAGAGGCCGGCAAGGCAGGCGGGAAACGTTGGTTTCCTCTGTCACTGAAGCAAGCAAGCCTCACGTTCACTTCAAGCTGCTTGGCTGCAGGCCGCCATCCTGGCTGGCAGTTAATTTGCATATTGCCCTGATTAGCCAATGGGAAGGGTAGCAGACGTACGGCTAATTACCATGTTTCTCTTTTATTAGATAGGACTAGTGGCCTGCTGCACAAAAATTTGTGTACTCGGGGGGGCATCCCTCAGCCTAGCCTGCCCCCTCTAACAGTCTGGGAGCCCTCACAGGATGTCCTACTGATGTCCCTGTGGGGAGCGGGCCTAAGCCTCAGTCTGGCCTCCCTCTGTGGAAGGCAACTGGCCGATCAGGTATATAGATACCTTCTGAAGGCAGCACAGACTCCTTCCTTATTTCTTTCCTCTGTGGTTGGAGAATAAGGTACTAAAAGGTGGAGACAGAACTGTGGCTGGGCCTGGGGCTCTTATAGGCAGCAGAAAGAAGGAGAGGGCTGGGGAAAGTCTAGACATGGTTTTCTTCAATTGTCCTCCCTTCCTCCGGGCCCCTCACTCTGTTCTTTCCTTGTCATGGTGGACGCTTGGGCCTCGGACTGACAGGAGCCCAGCGATGGTGGAGTTCAGCCCCCTCATTTCTCAGCTGAACATATAACTGCCTCACATTCCAAGTGGAGCTGTTTTCAAGTGGTAAAGTGCTGGCAATTCATGCCTCCTGGCCTTTCCCCTCTGGGGTTTCCTCCTTGGGTCAGTTGCAAACTTCACTGAGACACCAAAGCAACTCTGCCCTGGTACTTCTGCACCAGCCCCTGCACTCTTCCTTGAGGTCTCTGGGTCCACAGTCTGAGCTCAGGGAGGTCACCCAGAGCCCGTTGCCCCAGACAGGTGGGGCAGGGGGACTAGCTTGAAGAGCTGGAGGAAGATGGCAGAGTAAGAGTTGGTATGAACCGGCGTCTGCTTAACCAGACTTCCTTAGCTCCCCACCAGGCCCAGGCTGGGCCCCTTCCCCACACCAGGAGGATCCCAGTTGACGTCCCCTCCCTGCACCCAGCGCTCTCCTCCCTGTTCTACCACTTGGGGAAGGGAGCAGCTCACCTGCTCTGGACCCTGCCAACCTGGCAGGCTGAGGCCCAGGTGGTGCAGCCTAGGGTGCTGGTGGCTGCGAGCCTTCTCCCCCTCCCTCTAGCGTGGGGTGGGGTTGCAGCAGCTCACAGCCACCCCTGGGCACCATGCATGGAGAAACCGCTCTCCACTGAGCCACCATCCACCCAGGACCTGTGGGGGTTGGGGTGACCTCAATGGGTTCCCACTGGCCCCACTGAAGCCAGTCTCGGCTTGGCCAGCCACCCCTGCTGCCCAAGGGCTGCACATGCCCCACGGGCCTCATCACCCTCATGAATCACTGTGGTCCGGCTGTCCCATCCCAGGAGGTGGCCATCCTGATCGCCATGGCTCACTCCCCAGTGCAGTTGGGCCTGCCCAGCAAGCATGTAGGCAGGAGCTGGGCCTCTAAGGGTAAGGAGGAGGCATGCTGGGCCAGGGCAGAAGTGGGGAACTTGGCGATGTAAACACAGCCCACCCCCACGTTGTGCCGGCCCCTGTGCTGCATTCCCAAACCCCTGGGTGCCCCTGCCCAGCACTGCGTTCTTGGGTGCAGTGGGGGTGAGGGACCTGGAGCAGTGGCCTGAAGGCAACCCTCGCTGGCTTGGAATCACAGTGGTCTATCAGGGAGGGATGCGGGATGCAAAATTCCTCCTCTCTCTCTAAATCTCTCTCTCTAAATCTCTCTCAGAGTGGGCCCCGTGTCTTCGGAGGGCATGCGAGGACTCGGTTGAGGCGATGGGCACCGCTTTCCATCTCCCAGACCCCCGCCCATCCCCAGATCGCATTGGGACGTGTCTCCGTGTCTCTGGTGGGCAGGTGAGGGCTCAGTTGAGGCGATCTGCACTGCTTGCCTTTGCCCCAGCCCCCGTGTATTGGGACATGTCTCCGGTGGGTGGGCAAGGGCTCAGTTGAGGTGATGGGCACCGCTTGCCTTCTCCCCAGCCCCCGCGCATTGGCATGTGTCTCCGGTGGGCAGGCGAGGGCTTGGGCAAGGCAATCTGCACCACTTGCCTTCGCCCCAGCCCCTGCCCACCCCCAGATCGCATTGGGACGTGTCTCCATGTCTCCGGTGGGCAGGCAAGGGTTCAGGCCGGGCAATCTGCACTGCTTGCCTTTGACCCAGCCCCCGCGCATTGGGACCTGTCTCCAGAGGGCGGATGAGGGCTCAGTCCAGGTGATCCGCACCGCTTGCCTTCGCCCCAGCCCCGCCCACCCCCAGATCGCACATGGGAGTGGGCCCCCTGTCTCCAGTGGGCGGGGGAGGGCTCCGGGCAATCAGCACCACTTGCCTTAGCCCCCAGTAGCAAAGGGAGGCCTGGATGGTGGCTTGCGCTGTCCCGCCCTGCCTGCAGTATGCAAATTAGCCGCCATCTTTGTTGGCGGTTAACCGCCATCTTTGTTGGCAGTTAATTTGCATATCGCCCTGATTAGCCAATTTTGAAGCGTGTTGGAGGTACGGTTATTACCATGTTTGTCTATTATTAGATAGGACTAGAGGCCCGGTGCAAAAAAATTTGTGCACTCGCGGGGGGCGGGAGGGTCCCTCAGCCCAGCCTATGGCCTCTTGCAGTCTGGGACCCCTCGGAAGATGTCCACCTGCTGGCTTAGGCCTGCTCCCTGGGGGATCGGGCCAAAGCTGGCAGTCAGACATCCCTCTGGCAGCCCAGCAGCCCTCGGGGGATGTCCACTTGCCAGCAGGGAGCAGGCCTAAGCTGCAGTTGGACATCTTTAGCGCTGCTGAGGAGGCAGGAGAGGCTCTTACCACCACCACTGTATTGGCAGCCTTCAGCCTGGTTGTGGCTGAGCAGAGCTCCCCTTGTGGGAGCGCACTGACCACCAGGGGGAAGCTCCTGCATTGAGCATCTGCCCCCTGGTGGCCAGTGTGTGTCATAGTGACCAGTCATTCCCAGCCGTTATGCTGTTAGGGTCAATTTGCATATTACCTTTTTATTATATATAATAGAGGCCTGGTGCAATGGTGGGGGCCGACTGGTTTGCCCTGAAGTGTGTCCTGGATCAGGGTAGGGGTCCTGCTGGGGTGCCTGGCCAGCCTGGGTGAGGGGCTGATGGCTGTTTGGAGGCTGCCCAAACCCCCTTCAGAGTGGGGGTCCCCTCTGGGGTGCCTGGCCAGCCTGGGTGAGGGAGTGATAGCTGTTTTCAGACTGACCAACCCCCTGGTGACTGAAGTTTCCAGCCTTTCCTTTTTTAGTTGTTTTTTTTTGTTCCCTAAAGCTCCATGGCAATGGCGACTGGAAGCAGTATCTGGGGTTTATTTACCTTCTACATTCTTCCATCACATGGGCAAGCAAACCTCCTGCTCGCTCCAGCTCCGTAGCCACAGCCTGCTGATAGCAGGTATCTGGGGTTTATTTACCTTCTATAATTGAAACTTTGTAGCATTGAGTGGATCTTAGAGCCAGCCAGGGCAGGCAGGAGGTAAGCCTCCTGCTTGCTCCTGCTCCGTGGCCAAGGCCCACTGAAAGCAGGAATCTGGGGTTTATTTAACTTCTATAATTGAAACTTCGTTGTTTTGAGTGTAGCTTAGAGCAGGCCATGGCAGGCAGGAAACCATGGCTTCCTCCATCACTGGAGCAAGCAAGCCTCCTGCTCATTCCAGCTCCATGGCTTCCAGCCGCCATCTTTGTTGACAGGTAATTTGCATATCTCGCTGATTAGCCCATGGGAGGCGTAGCGAAGATATGGTCAATTACCATCTTTGTCTATTATTAGGTAAGATATGTCAAACAAACACCAATTACAGTCAAATTATAATTACAAGCCGCAGTGCAAATATGTGATTTAAATATAAACAGTCAGTTTATGTGACACAAAGGGGTAATCAAACATTGGCATGTATGATATGCTTACTTCCCCACTGATCTAGGAATCACTCTCCGATTTACTTCTCTTGAGGTTAGAAGATGACCAGGGCTCTGGATTTCTTCATATAAAGTCTTATTATTTGAACTAGAATGAGCAAAAACAATAATCAAGGATGAAAAACCAAACTACAGTAACAACCTTCATCTTGCTGGGACTGACCGACGACACTCCACTGAAAATATTGCTGTTTATCTTTCTATTTCTTTCCTACGTGTTGAGTATATCTGGAAACCTAACCATCATCACACTCACTCTGATTGATTCCCACCTAAAAACACCGATGTATCTGTTCCTTCAAAATTTCTCCTTCTTAGAAATTTCTTTCACAACCGCCTGTGTTCCCAGATTTCTATATAGCATATTATCTGGGGACAAGTCCATTACCTATAATGCTTGTGCCAGTCAACTCTTGTTTACAGACCTCTTTGCAGTAACGGAATTTTTCCTTCTGGCTGCCATGTCCTATGATCGCTACGTGGCCATCTGCAAACCCCTGCACTACACCACCATCATGAACAGCAGAGTCTGCAAGAACATCATTTTCTCCTGTTGGGTGGCAGCACTGATGATCATTCTCCCACCAATCAGTCTGGGTTTGGGCCTAGAATTCTGTGATTCGAACGTCATTGATCATTTCCTCTGTGATGCATCTCCTCTCCTGAAGATCTCTTGCTCAGACACCTGGTTGATAGAACAGATG